GGGGGGGGGGGGGGTTGCAAAAAACAAGAGTGCCTTTGCCAATATGGTATGTAACAAGCTATTTGTGATCGAGGTTTTAACCAACTCGGTCGATCCAATGACCATCTTTAAGTAGAACCACTTTTCTCCATCTTCAATGTAAAGGGGAAATGGCTTTTAGAGTTAATTATCATAATCCAACATGGCCATACAATGAGTATTTAGTACTTGGAAAGTGAATGATTGCATTTACGTAAAAACTTAGTTTACCTCAAGTGCAAAGTTTGACGAGAACTCAGAGCTGTCGGAAGCAGAATCATTACAATCTTCACCATCTTGCACTCCACTTAGACCATACCGGGATACGAAATAGCTTGTGTCATCAACACCATCAGTCTGTGGTACAAAGGCTGCCTATAGACACAATGAATCAGAAATTAAAGAGAACAATCTGCCTATACTGATTCAATTGTTGACGAATATGCAAAAGCACTATATGGGAGTCTACGTTGTTCAAAAGAATGAAAGATTTCTGATTACTGAAATTCGTAGTTATGGCATAGACAATGAATCTACACACATATTAACAGACATTACAACTATGTTCAATAATATGACTGCATTTGCCATTACATAAGTTAATTGGCACTCAACTAATTATCACTATCCAGTATACAGAAAATGGAAAGAGAATGGTCAAAGAGGAAGGAGCTAATTCTTTAAGAGAAAAACTATAATTAACAATAAAGTGTGCTGCCCAGTCCCTTTCCTCAGAAATCATGAATCTAAATATGTTAAATGAGACATTATCAAAGAAGCTGAAAAGGCTCAAACCCACACAACTGATTTTTTGTACAGTAAGGCCTACCTTCTGTAAGGCAAGATTATCCCAGTCAACTCCCCTGAAAAATTGGTGTGCTTTTACCTGTAGGAATATAGAGTAGTAGATGATGAAAGTTAGTACCAACCATGGAAGTTTCATCCCATATTATTCTTTAAGAATATGCACAAGACAACCTCTGATGCTCCTTTTGCTCCAAGGCGCAGATTTGGGTCATGAACAAGAAGCCTACAATAAAGCTCTACAACTGAGTTAGATCATCCAGCAGACAAAATCAAGGGAAAACATCTTATTGTTGAATTTGCAGCCCAAGTAATTTAAACAACTAGGGTATTCAAGGATGAATGGTACTATCAATGTTTCAAACAGAAAATAAGCAGTAATGGCATCAATGATGTCCAAGGAACAAATACAAAACTGGTACCCAAGAGAGCCCCTAGGCACTGGAAATGTGCCACTGTGAGATCACCTAGGAACATGATTTTGAGGTGAAAACTCACAATAAGAACCAGAGACTTAAAACGAAGAAAGCGTTTCAGACCTGACCATTCGATAAGAGGATGCTAGACTGCCATTGAAATTGGTCCCCAGAGGATAGTTCATGTATATAATTTAAAATGGTATTATTAGCTAACCTGTCAATCAAGTCTTGTGCCTCAAGGGACATCTCTTCTGGGACAAAGGGCCAGGGGATTTGCTTGTTAAGAATATTATCAAAGATAACCTGTCAATCCAGAAAGAGTAATGTGTTGAGGAGGTGAAGTCCCATACTTACTGCAACTATTAAGTCATCTGGTGCTATATATTTTCCGGGTAGCTTTCTTAAAGATAAAGGCAGCAAACAAATAAGGCAAAATTTGTCAACTATCATTTAGAAATTCCTGCTTCTTAAAATGCGTTGTAGTTTATATGAACTTAAAGTCCAACTTAGCATCTGTCAACTGGAGTCAATGTCTGTCCTCAAGGAATCACGCGCACACATTACAATTGTTCTAAACTGAATGGAGAACTTTAGTGAAAGACCAATCTTATATAGCCAGGTCACACCTATTTAATATTATGACTGGCAAAATGATTACTGTTAGAGTTACATTTTCCCTATAATTTCACTATGACAAAAAGTACTGTAATACATTAGACAATCGCAATGTGAATGATGCTCAGAATAGGGAGGAACTGTAATATAATACCTCAGGGTGCTCGGCATTGAAAGGCGGAAACCCAGTGATGAGTTCGAACAAAATGATTCCTACTGACCACCAATCAGCAGCGCTACCTGTACATATAATCAGATGGCAAAGTCAATGCTTTGTTCCTTTCATTCTCACTCCTGACGTCCCCCTTTTATTTATGTTATGTTTTATTTTTAGATAAAGGTGACATGGGGAGGGAGTATCAGCATATCACCAACTCTAGTATAGCAATTTCTTTCTCACCATGCTCAGTTCCAAGAAGAATTTCCGGAGCCAAATAGTCAGGGGTACCAACAGCTGACCGTTGAGATTTGTCCAATAGATGATCTGGAACATCAGGAAGCACTACATCCTTTGTGTCGGGTCCAGATAGATCATCCGTACTGTTCATTAGTCCAATTTTCGACAAACCAAAATCTGTAAGCTGTTTAAGCATATCCAAGATTAGAACATGATCCCCTTCGACACAGACCAGAAATACATCAAAAACATGCATGTACTCTGCAGAACAATTTATGATGGAGTTGATACTAGAATTACAAGATTCCTATCAGAGCGATCAAATTTGGGGACACCTTTGGGTGGGGGGTGTTATCAATACTGGCAAATTGAGAATCACTTATCATTCAGCAAAATACAATTAATCTTAGCTTCCTCATCATTTCAAAGATCTCTAATATACTAAACCAACCTTTATATGCCCATCTTGGGCAATTAATATGTTGTCTGGCTTGAGATCACGATGGACGATTCCTAAAGAATGAAGGTACTCCAGAGCAAGGACCTGAAGAAGGGAAAAACACATCCTTCAAAGAGCTCAAAAGGTTGCAAAATTTCCTGACAAGAAAGTTTAGAAAAGTACCAATTCCGCGACATAGGTTCGAGCTACATCTTCCTCAAGGCAACCAACTTTTTTAAGCAGAGAGAATAGATCACCGCCATTAAGATACTCCATGACCAAATAAAGGTAGTCTCTGCTGGTGAATGAATAAAAAAATCGGACCTACAACCGTGAAAGCATCTTCATGATCCTACTGAGATCGACAAAAGGAAAAATAAAAAAAATAAAAAAACTGTAATACCACAAAAGGGTTTCTGACAGTAATCAATATATTGCGTTCTGCCAATATGCGCTCAATATCATTCTTTCGCAACAAATCTAATTTCTTGAGCACCTGCATATAGGATGAATGGCATCATGTCAGAAATCAGTACCAACTTGGTCATACAAAAAAAGTTTTCAGTAAAAATACTATGGAAGACAAATACTTCAATGAGATATTTGTTGATACACATAGACATGCTGCATAACTAAGATAGTCCCTCTAACCACAAGCTTCTCCAACTTGTTAATTTTCCCGTTAGCAGGATGCACCGCAAAAGTGGTCCAGTGACAAAGCAGTTAATGATTAGCATAGAAATTGGACTTCCATGTCTTTCAGGTACTTATAACCAGCATACTTTGAAAAAATAGCGTCTTGTTAAAGATGCAAAATCCCCCCCGTACGTCAGTGCGACTCTTACATTCATTATCGAAAATGAATTCACCCATTCATTGTTGTATTCTAAAAATATGTGTTCCACTAGCCCACCAAAAAAAGGTCCTTAATTCTTCTTATTGAATCCACAACAAGATCCGTCAGCACTAATAAATTAAGCGGTATCCCTAAAATAAAAAATTTAAAAAAAAACTCCTTTCCAACAACAATCCCTAGAAACCAACAAACGCGAGATCTTTTCTGTAAAGCAATGCAGATATCTACTGGTATCCACAAACATAAGAAGGAAAAGAGTTGAATAATATCATTTATGCAAATGCAAATATAATTATCTGATACATTAATTGATTCGAAGGTTAAGATGACTCAAAAGGTACCTTAATTGCAAATAAATCTCCAGTTGACCGCTTGCGTGCCAGAAAAACTCTGCCAAAGGCACCTCTGCTGATTGGTTTGATAATCTCAAAATCATCAATGCTTGTTCTTTCTTTGTGTGATGAACTTGAAGGAGTTGACATTATACTGGAATGAGATGAATTATCCACTAATATTTTGGAGCCTTCTGAATTTCCAAAACCGTCTTTTCTACCCACTAGATCACAAGCAAGTATATATTTCTCTCTGCATGTAGTGGAGCAGTGTCAGTTCTGGTTCATCTATAAATTCTAATATACGATGAGTCCAAAAAGTTGTACCGCAAAAGGTTCTCTATTCGTCCCCCAAATGTATCTACTACAAGAGCTTTTAGCTTGTTATTTTGTAAAGTATATTGTAGGTCTTGCATGAAAGCAATTAAAAGCTCATGAGATCCTTCTTCTGAAAGATCTGTGCCGGCCGCACAACGTGCAATATCTGCTAAATCAGCCATCTAAGAAGGAAAAAGAAAACGGAAAGGACAAAATCAGCCCATCTAACATGCAGGAATGAGTTAAGCCCTTAGCTCTTTATTAAAGAAACTATTGATCTACACATGCACATTATAGTTAATTCTGAAATGATAATAATTTATGGAGATGGAAAAGAGGTACACTAATACATTATCAGCTATAAACTTATGGAACATAGCAGCATTAGCGTCATATCATCATCACTTAAAAAGATTTTTCACAGAAATCCTAAGTTTAGAATGTTTTTATTTATATTTAAACTACAAAACGAATTAATGAGAAGCAAAAGAAGTCTTGGAGAATTATTATTAGGTTTAACGAAACATAGGTAGATCATGTGTTTCAATTAAAAACTTGAAACTATACAAACTCATCCCAGTAACTGATGTGAAAGATTTCTCTTATTGATTATTTAGTACTTCTCTTGTACCAATTTATATGACACTCTTTCCATTTTCTTTATAAGGTTGGTGTCACGTCCAACTTGCACGCACCTCTACTATTTCATTAGGAACCTGCATCCTCCAAGTGGAATACTGTCTCATGAAATGGGACAGAGAGTGTAGAAGAATATTAATAACGAGACATGGAAAAGAGTTGGTTAAGAAAGCTCGGAAAAAGAAAGTAAGAGATGATAAATCAAAGAACATAATCATTAATGAATCTGTTGTATTCTCCAGAGATGAGTGATCAGAACAGGTAGCAGAAAAATCACTGCAGTGACTTGAGAACTTAAAGCACTACTCTATTTCGATTTAGCCCAAATTGATTTATTGGTTTCTTGTCAAACAAAGAAGTTCCTTTTATGTAATAGCACTAATGAACACTTGTAAAAAAAAAAAAATAAGCAAACTCTAAAATCCTCCTTCATTAGGCTATGATTTCCATGGAGATTTAGTAAGGAAAATGATCAAGGAAAGACTTTTAGAAACGGACGCGTCTAGTAAGCAACCCGATAGAAATATAAAGATCTAATACACCAAAAGAATGAGCTGTACACAATTTTTTATAGCTATCCATATTGCTAAACGATCATCACCAGCATTAGAATCCTTTATTTTGTTCACATACTCTCTCTTACTCCATTTCCCTCCTCTCAGACAGACACAAGCAAAACAAGAGAACTTCCTGTGATTTTTCTTTATTTGATCCTTAGTATATGGAGTGAAATACTTGGATTCCAACTTTAGTGCTTCTTCACTACTAAATTGGTGGATTTCTGGACACGACCCAACACATATTTCTCACTAAGTTGAGACAAATTGCCAACCAAAATTCAGAGTACAGTGACAAACCTGCTGGACATCCTCTAGCTCAGAAAGATTGCTATGCTCTAACCAGAAGTCAAAATTTACTGCCCGAGGGGTATTTGTGGAGGATACTGATGTCATGCTCCCTGTTGAAGATGGTGGACCACAATGATTAAACTTTGCACCCAAGTGACTCTTCAAATTAACGAATGCTGCTAATGGAGAATCTTCTATACTGGCCGTATCCATCTCATGAAGATCCTCAAACATTCCATCTATCCCTTTGCTTCTCCACTCACCCATATTTGGTGAATAACCTTCAGATGTATTCCCAGAATTTGCATTTTTCACTTTTGAATTTTCTTGGATCTCAGACGTTGCATGAAATCCTAAATTACGTGACTCCACAAGCTGATCCAGTAACTCTGCAAATTTCAGAAGGCGCTCATCTACATCTAGAGATTTCGAATCACATTTCTCTGCATAAGCACATATATAGGAATGAGGCTCCAAATGAATAGTGGGAACAAGTTCCTCACAAATTCTACATATCACCAAAGAATCATCTGAATACTGTTGTCTACACTCGTTTTTCAATTCTCCACTAATTCGGTCGCTGATATGGTTTAATGATTTCATGTTAGACTGAATGTCAGGATGGTTAATAAAAGATGATGTTGGTTCAATAAACATGGGATCTTTTTCTAGTGTAGTGACACTTCCATCCAAGAGAAATTCAGATTTCTGCTGATGTGTGTGGGAGGAAAATTTCGAAGTCTTTTCTTCCTCCGAACTGCATTTGCCAGCAGCCTTTGTGTTCAAAGTACAACCTGCTTCCGAATCAGATATCCCTCGCTTGAGAACCCAATCTGTTTTAATAGAAGGAATTCTATTTAGACATTCTTTAAGCTTGGCCAGAGATGTCTCATCAACTGGCTCACTGTCCTTAGCAAAATACAACAGCCTTGTGCACCGTGTCAATATAAAAAGCATGCGTGTCAACAACCATTTCAAAAGACCCATTTGGCATTCTTGTCTTTTCATAGTCAGGTCCTGGACAATTGCTTCACACTTGGAGCGGAATTCTAAGCACGTCATTTTGATACAATCTTGAGCAAGAACAACAAGTTCTCCAGCCATCTTTTGTCCATCCAGAGGCAAGGAATCATTCTTCTCATTCTTCTGTACAATTTCTACAACCTCCTGCAAGAAACCGCCTAGCTCTGTGTTCACTGCTTCTTTAGCAGCATCAAATCTTAAACGAAGAGATCCAATCAGCTCCTGCATCTCATCCCATGGAACAAAAGTTAATATTGAACTTCAAAACCATATCAGCCACCCCATCTGACCTACTTATCTTGATCATTACACTCTAAAATGAACGTAATTCCTTCCTATACTTATCACTTACCACCCAAAAATAATAACTGGAAGTATCAGAACCTAATTCTTTCCTATGCTTATCACTTACCACCCTCAATTAATTACTGGAAGTGTCAGAACAAGAAATGTCGAAAGAAATACCTTTAGATCATTATAGCTGTGAGCTCGCGGAGGTGAAGGTTGAATTCCACCTTTTGGACCTAGCTCGTGTGAAAAACTTTTGAATGTTTTGCTTGCTTTACTATTAGGCATTGCTCCTTGGGAAGATTGCCTCATTGTCACATGCTTCCCCATCTTATGCACATTCCTTCCAGGACCCTGCTTGTCAGTACCCTAAAATTGCAAATTATCAAACAGTGAGACACATCTCCTACTACAATCAAATAAGCAGCAGAAACATAGCATAGCACATCCAGAGTAACTTAACAAAACTACTTTTATGTGCAAGCTAAACCATTTCTTACCTGATTTACGGAAATTCCACTACCAGCTTGATCTAAATCCTTAAAGATATATGACGCAAACCAACTAGCTATCTTCCTGCCTTTACGGTGTCCTGTTAGGTAAAGGGACCAGAAAGTTTAGTAGAACAGAAATCCAATTGGACAGAGAAAAAGAGCTGCCGAGAATAAAAACAAAAACTGGAAATTAATCTCCTTTGAGTTCCTGCATCACTAACAGAAAGCGCGAAGGGGGTTACAGAGAGATTCCACCCAATTGAGAAAATACAAACTTAGGGAATTTACAATCAAAGTAATTTTAAATCATACCAAGGAATTCCAAAGTTTAGGTAATGATAAGTAATCTATGCATCGGAAGCACTAGTACAACACGGATGATGACATTTTTAAAGGTGAAAATCACAGTATGATCATATAACAGTTTAAGGTATACTTGCTCAGACTGCAACTTCAGTAAGATAAATGACCAGCTTCCTCCCTCTCAAACAAGCTTCTCCATTCATATGGTAGGATAGGGTCTTCGAATACTCGTTCATTCTATTACTATTAGACGTCAGCATTAGTCTGTGCTTACATTCGTTACGGAAATTATTATACATATACCATCTTTCTTTCTAGAAAATTACCATACAGCTTTCAGCTGAAGAACTTAAGTAATTAAAGCAGATATTAGCTCCCCAATTTCTACAATCTCCTGCTCCCAACTCTAAGAGTTTCTTTTCTATCAGATCCAATAGCTTCTTTAGACAGGATAAATCCAAAGTATATCTTACTTTATCTGAACTAAAATCCACTACTTGTTTTTTAAATTGTTATTAAAAAAAAGGTCTCATTTTTAGACATGCAGATACAATATGGCTAATACACCTGCTGGTGGGAGATAGTAGATGTCGGTTAGTCGAGGTGTGTGCAAGCTAGTCCGTCATTAAAAAATTAAAAAATATAGCTAATACACCATCTGAATGCCCAATGACATCATCATGTTCAGCCTAGCATGTGCTATATCAAACAATAGAAATTTGCTACTCTCCCCTTTCCAACGCAAACTACACCCTGTCATTCCAAAATGCTCAATACCACTCCATTATTAATATTATTATGTACTATTTTCAAAATTCATTCATTTAACTACTCAAATATTAAACTTTGACGTCGACATTTTTTCTATTACTTTAATATCTTCTTCCACTGCTACTAAAATAATACACAAATCAAATTAAAATCTTAAACTACTACTACTAATCAAAAACTCGCTAACTGTACGAAGAATATAACGCGAATGTTAACTATATTAAAAGCTAATAAAAAGCAGATTTAGCAAAAAAAGACCTTTTCGTCCTTTTGCGGCAGCTCTTTGATCCTGCTTCAAACGAGGCGTGGAAGCTCCAGAACGAGGAGACTCATTCAACTTATCGGAATCTACTACAAGCCTTGAACTCGGCCTTTCCTTCGACTCAAGCCGCCTAGTCTTAATCCGGTTCAAACCGGTCGGAATTCCGGTCTCCGGCGAAGACGACTCACCACCACCGGTCCGACTCTGTTCCGCCATCACAAACTCAGCCAGAACAATCTAAAATCCCTAGTTTTATTGAAGAAAAAATGAAATTAATAAAATGAGAGTTTTTGAGTAAACAGTGTGGTTTTGGTGAAGCGGTTGGTGAGGTAACGGTTCCAACTTTCAAACAGAAAAAGGAAGAAGAAGGAGAGTGAGTGGTGGCGTGTTTCGGATGTTCTAATTCAATTCTAATATACAAAAAGGCAAAATCAATGTTGTGTTCGTTGAGAGAAAGTTTGTTTCTCACTTTATTGTTTTTATTCTCAGGATCTGAGTTGCAACTTGCAAGCTTAAATGTTGCAACTCTGATCCTATTTCAGAGTTTGAATTCTACCTAAAACTCTTTTTTACTTCTACCTTCTCCTTTTTATTGTTTTGAGGATCTGTGTTAAAGGGAAAAAAAAAACTGGTTTTGTTTTCTCTTCTTTAGTACTTGTATTTCCTTTTTAATAGTATGTCTTACCAAGTTAGTACTATTCTTCACTTTTTTTTAATTAATAGATAATGTACTATTCTTAACGTACACCTTGTTTCAAGTGGTGTTACATAATACCGTTTAGTCAAAAAAAATTATAGTATATATATAAATAATAAATAAAATAAAAAATTGAGTATAAATATAAAAATAGAACCGCTCATCGTTACGATAATTCATTCATTTACTTATTTCTTCAAATATTTACATCACTCACTAAAATTTCTGTGTACACCACTATTTAACGTGGCTTATGTAGTTACGTAATAATTGTTGCGACCAAACACACTCACGCAAGTATACGCGGTCGTCAAGTAATAAAGTGACTA